AATGAAACAGTCGTGCACTTTACCGAGAGCAACTTCACAGAGGCAAAGGCAGCTCCATGAGGCACTGATGAGGTCAAGCACTAACTCCAGCGGATTTGCTCGCAATGAGAGAGAAGGCGTGATGGGAGGCGTAATTCGTGGACCTTGTGCTCTATCAAGCAAAAAAGGCAAAGCGGTGCACAAAAAAGAAAATGCTGATATTTGAGGAGGAGCGGTGGAAAGCATTTACAGAAAGCCTGCCAAATTTCCCTCCTCCCAAGCCGTTGTCGCCACGATGTACAAGAGAAATGCATTGCACATATACCAAAGGAAAATAGCATAAGTTCTGAAGTCCACTGTTTTGATAATACAGAAAAGAGACGAAACCGTACAAAGTTGCTTCTACCTCCCACCAAGTACCTGGCAACAAGGATTTGCCCTAAGCAAAAAGCAATGCAGTTAGGAAGGACTGCATAAAGAAACGTCAAAGCTCAGTGTTATTGTGTTGGAATTGTGAAGAAAAATAATAATAATTGGGTAGCAAAACTCCAAATCAAATGCAATTGCAGTTGGAAGACATTGTAGATGAAGTTGAAACGAACAAACGTGTCAGAAGTAAAGGTCAGCAAAATCATACGCACAGAAAACGAGGAAATAGGCGAAATAAACTAAGAGAGGAAAGTGACCAAGTGACGGTACAGGTAAGCACTAGTGGGAGAAAGAGATCGCTCCGCTCTGCCCTGTTTCACTCTACCTCACACGCTGCCGCCGCCATGGCTTCCCATCACACTTGCAGCAACACTTATTAAAATGCTCGCAACCCGGTGTCTTAGTTAAGCCGTCTATGATAACCATCCTTCAGATCTCGCATTTACTTATGCTAGAGAGTTCCTCTGAATTCAAATGGCTTCGAACCTGAATGTTCCACTCACCGATACCACAAATGGTAATACCTCAGCTTAAAACGCGTCGCCTTGCCTCACACACTTCGTTCACATCGATCAACAGGGAAAGGAATATTTCTCCCCACGAGTTCGCTCAACCTTATATACTTCTTTGCATTTCCAATGGAAGTTAATAAATGTGTACAAAATTATGGACCAACGAAAAAATTAGTGATACAAAATTACCGCGACGTCATCACAGCTTGGAAAGGGAGAGTTAATGAACAGGAATGGAGAGGGTGACAGATTTAGGCAGTCTTGGGCTGTTACTCTTGGAATCGCTGCCAGAAGAAAAAGACCGACCATTTCAGTGCTTCATGCTACAGGCTTACAGAATGTACCATAACCACCAGACAGTGTTCAAAGGCGTAAATTCACCATGTCATCGATTCTAACTTACGAATTGTTGCAAAAAATGGAAGTGACTATACTGAATACTGGAGACGACACTCAAAGCTTCGGTACGGACTCCGGGTAGGTGGGCACACGCAAATCCAGGGCAGGCGCGTAGAACCCTGCGTTAGCTAAATTTGGCGGTAGTGACGGCGGTGGCAACAGAACACCGTGTACCTCGTCAACTACCGATGGTGATTGCTTGCGGCGATGCAGGAGACAACGGAATTAGGCCAATGATCCAACGCCCAATATCACCAAAAAGGCACCGAAGAGAGATCCGACTATCGTACTCCATAAGAGAGAGTCGCTACAACTGCGTAAAGGCATCGAGCTAGAACTTTCATCCTTACGACCGCCGTCGAGTAAATAAATGAATGAAACAACAGAAAAAAGTAGTCACCAACCACTGTGTTCTACTGTCACGGCATGTATGACCATTGGCGCATTCCCCTTCATTCGATCTACCTTCCTGCTTTTAAAACATAGGCGTCACGTATATGTGACGCGCCAGCCCAAGTAATAAAATCGTGTTAAGAGAACAATGGTGGAAGTGAGAAGTTAAGATCAACATAAGGCGGCAAACAAAACCTTCCCCTGTCTACACTCAGCCACATATCCTCTGATCCAGAGGCATGAAACACGAAGAGACCTGTCAGTGCGGCTGCATCATTCGAATGCAGCATTTGTGGTAACCTCTCACAGATCAAGAATTCTCGCGTTCAAAAGCAAATGCACTGTGATAATCTTGTACAGTTCCACCAAGGACCAAATCATGCATTTATCATGCAAACTGTATGTTCACATATACAAAAGCACATTCTATGGAGTGAAAAACCACCACTACCAGCAATGCCATTAACAATTCGTCTTTAGCGATCGGCATCGAGACGTCGACATCATTTAAGTGATAGACCGGTGCAAGATTACGTGTCACATTGCTGGGCTGTGCTTGCAGTCAATATCCACTGGGTCGAATTTGATGCCTTCGTTGCCTGCCATCCTCTTTAGGAGCATCATCTGAATTCTTGGAGAATTCATGTGCACGGTACAAAATGAGGCCCCACCACTTACTCATGGCATCATTGCTGCTGATGCTGGTAACTGTAGCAGCAGGTAGCATATCTCATACTACATTTGCATGGGTCGACATCCACACCGATTACTCATGTAGGCACCCCCAGTGTCGTAAAGTGGATCACTTTGTGTGAAAACACCTGACGTATGTACTAAGGGGAAAGACTAATTACTTATTCCATTAACCTGCAAATGAATAATATTCGATTAAAGGTGCCAGGGGCAAAGGACCAAAGTAAGCAGTCTGCGGCAGAGGACAGCAGAAGCAAGTGGAACGGGAGTTAATTCATAGCACACCTCACGCATAGCTCAAAAGGACTATAGACTTTCAATTTACGCAAAAGACGTACAACCATTCTCTCAAGCCACCTTATCTCCATAAGATAGGTTATGGAGCACACAATCAAACCGATAAAAATTAGCAAGCGCTGAAGTTAAGACAAACAAAGGACCTACATTACATCTCACACATCATCAAAATGTAGAAAAAATGAACATCCACACTTCTAACACAAGCAAATTTTGTCAAGAAGATCACTAAACATAGACCAGCTCCTGTTTAGATCTTTGGCAGAGAAAAGAACAGCTTTGGGGACATCAGGGGTTTACCATTCCTTCATTTGACTTGATATAGATCCAAGTAATAGACGCCCACGCAATTGGTCCTCAAGTCGAGTCAAACAATAGACAGGCAATAAAACCGGGATCGTATTACCGCATTCTTACCAGACGCAACATTTCCAAAATGGCCTACATAAAACTGACCTTACCTCACAGGAGGTCAAGTGAATATATCAGCAGTGACGACTGTTGTAAAACGAATAATTCGGAGGCAACAGATGGCAGGTTGAAGTAGAGGCGACAGGCATTATTCATCTTAATAACAGATACTTACCCAAGCCAGAATCCCCAAAAGCAAATGAGTAATCAACACAAACCCATATGATGGACTCAGCTACCACAAAGTAAT